ATATAAGAATGACCGCCAATTCGAAACGAACAAAATATTTTCTTATGTTAACTATTTTAAACGACACACTCAATTTCATGAAGATATCTTGAAAACAAAATGATGTACATCTCGTAAACGAGGCATTAAAAAATTATTATCCCATTGAACGGAGTTTGGCTGTTTAAATACTGGACTATCTGTATAGTCAACGGTATTAGTGTAAGATTAAGCCCTTTTAGATTAATAGAACACATCATGGATTATATTATTTAGGTTACATATTTTTAGTATTAAACTAAATATTCTTCAACATGCTATACACATTCAGCACATGCGTTTTGGAATCACAATTGAAAAGAATCCTTGATGCAAATGCCTTATCGCAGCTTTAACGCAATTGTAAGAGTTTCCTAAGGATTTAAGGATTTGTCGAAGTTTGCACACACGATCCCTTGTGAAAATTCGAAGAATCGGAAACTTTTGCCAGCTCTCAATTTACATTTTTTTTTGTATACTTTTTACTTGATTATTTTTAGTAAACACATTTTCAGTTAGCACTAAAAACTCACTTTTGTTTACAAACTTTATTAGTGCTAATGTAATAGAATTTTAAATGAAACAGTAAATTATAAACAAATGACACGTAGATAAATGGTTATTACGCTATTGTTAAAAATCAACCAAATATTAGTTGCGTTCAATCATTTATATCTATTACCATAATTTAACTGTCATTACACTTTAAATAAGTTTTTTTTCTACAAATTATTATTGTTGAATTTAAGAGCGCATACATGTATGTGTATTATGTAGTACTGCTATTTATTTATCATCCCAACGGTAAATACCAATTTACAAAAAAAACGATCCAATATTATTTATAATCAGTATTTACATGTATTCCTAACGTATAATAAAACGTTCACATCTTGATACACTACTTATTTTTTTATTATTATTATGTAAAGCCAAGCAGTTTTTATAATTCATCATAGATAATGTTGAGTTTAAAAACGGGAATATATTTTTTATATTTTCTTATAAAAACCATTTTATTTAAAGAACACCTGTTTTATTTACCGTTATGAAACCTACCACCATAAATAGAATATTTTTATTCCACACCCTTTATATTTCACAAATGTCAACCATTGTGTCAACCTAGAATACACCTAGTAATGAAAGTGGTCCGAGTCAGCCACATGGTCGACAATCGTGTGCGCTAACGTCATCAACGAAATTGAATCTCCGCAAGCCGCGTGTGGTGCGTTTTCCCAGCGTGATTTGCGAAATTGAACCTTAGTGCCATTGACCTTCGCCGTTGATTTGACAGATTGCTTTGAACTGCTGTGTACATTTATGAGGTGTTGAACAGTGAATAGTTATGTTATGTTGATTAGAAACTACTATTAGCTAAAATAGAGTTTAAACTTAGAGTAGAGTGTGCCAATAAATTGTAAATGTAACCTTATGTAGTAGAGTATATCACATATTTTATATGTTTTAGGTGTACGTTAAATAGACTGAGGAGATAAAAGTTGCTGATTTGATCATTTTGAAATATTAGTTAGTTAGCAAATGAAACTAAATAATGTGCCATACGTTTTGAATATCCGAATGGGAGAAAAACAATAAAAGTACGATAAATATATCAGCATTTATATATGTAAGATTGAATGGATTTCGTACAAAGCCAAACATTCTAATTTGTTTTGTTGAATCCGAACACTTTTTATGTATACATTCATTCAAAACTCCAAGGAGTAAGGTATTATAAATTAAAACTCAATATAATTTCTCCACATGATATTTTACCCACTTGATGTATCAGATTAAGCTTTCCTAAATTAAAAAGTTAATGCAACGAGACCTTCACATTACAAGGTACAGGGAAAATTAATAAATTTAACAAACATTTGTTAGCGTTTAATCCAGCACTGGGGATATAGGTCACAACAATGTTGTGGAGGCTGATCGGATTATATAAGGGTCGCTTCAGATGTTGTTGTTGAAACAACATTGTCTGAACATCGTGGTATTCAGGTCAACAATGGACAAAGGTATTGTCTAGACAGTCGTAGCTACATTTGAGTCTAAACAGTTAGGGTTTGGCTATTAAATAAACTAATAAGAGCCAGAGAGTTGGTACAAATTATTTTGTTGATTCTTTCTTATTGGTTGCAAAGTGGGTTTATTAATATTAGTATAAAATCTGCTTTTTATTCTGTAATGGCTTGGCACATTTTTGAAAAATATCTTAATTTGCGGGTGGAGTACACATTACAATATAACGTATAACGTTCAATGTAAAATGTGACAGATTACAATGTTCAATAATAGCTATAGTCCAGATTTACAATCAAATACATAGTCCCTTAATCAATGATATTTTAATTTATTAATTAAACGTTGGATTTAAACTAAACGGTTTCAGCATTCTGACACATACTTTCCCCCATAAGCTTGCCAACAACCTTTATCATGGGTAAGCAGTGAGAATGAAGATGATATTTTATAGTTAAAAATCACAAATGTAATTCAAGCTGTTCCAAGGAGTTAAACAAAATACATGAAATAGATTGTGCCTTATATTTTATATATTATACGTAGTTTACATTAAGATATATACAATAAATTTTCACCCCCGGGTGGGCTCGAACCATCAACCTTTCGGTTAACAGCCGCACGCGCTAGCCAGTTGCGCCACGGAGGCTACTAATCCCAATAAGCTGACAAGATATTCTTAAATCCAGACTTTAATATATTTCCCCTGCAAAGAATTTTAAAACGTTTCTACTTTACGATAACACTACTACTTTCAACTGTATTACATCTCAACGCAAAAATATTTTCATTTTTTTAACCATATTTGGAGATTCGTAAAAATAATATTGATACGCCACTTTTGGTTGTTTTCGAATAGCTGTAGTGTTATTAGCACGCGTAGAGAGGTTGGTTTTTAAGGGCTTAACTCTTAATTACAATTTTTCACTGTTTCAAATATCACTAAGCTGTCTCTAGCCTTTAATCCCTAAAACTATTTTAATTTATAATAATCTCAATCAATGATAATAATAATGGTAATACAAGATGTATAATCAAGGCTATTATTATTTAACATAAAATCTATGCTATTAGCTTGTTTCATTATCGGCAACCATTGGTTATTTGATACTGAAGTAAACATCCCATCTACATGGACCAGCTGTCGCCAATATTTTATTAAATAACAACATTATTTGATGTAATCATAATGCGCTATAGGGTCTAAAATTATATTTTCTATCTTATTTTTTATGCTGACCTAGTTAATGGTCAATAGCTAATAGTTTCTATAGCTATAATAAAACGTCGTACCACCGGTTTGACTTGGCAAAAAGTTCGTTTATTCAGTTATCAGTAATTTATATCAACAAAATCTGTCGGGGGCTCAAATCAACCACCTTAAAACGGGGATGGAATTTTGTGTTGATAGTCAAAGCTGCTGTGAAACATAAGAAATCCAATAACTATCATAACAAACCACGAATGTTGCAAGAGTGTTCATAACTAATTATTCCTCTCTTAACTTGTCACCCTTGTGGTAATAACCAAACTCGTTCGTCATGTCAATTCACAGCCATTAAAGTTTCACCACATGTAACGAAACTAATTATCCAGAAGGCCTTGTCGAAGCTGGTTACAAGTTGGGTCGGTGGTTAGGTTTGTACTTGTAACTTTAACGAGGGTGGTTGGATTTGTCACTGGCGGCTTAAAACCTCCGTCAGCTTCAAAGAGTGCTTGGCCGTCGTCTGCCATTGTTTTCGCACATGATATAAATGTTGCTGAAATATTTTTTATGATGCGGCTTAAGCTGTTCTTTTTGTTTATATTCAATTTCAACACAGTTTTTCTTGATTATGGTTATCAAAAACTATTGCATAAATATTTTATTTACTGTATACTTGTATCGGCACAATGAACATACCAAAAGATATGAAACATCACATTAAAAAAGCAAATTATTAATTAGATTTTTTAGCAAAATTTATTCATTTGTGTATTCGTAAATGTTTATGTTTTATGTGAAATTGTCAACCCTGCAGTAAGTAAAAAAGTTATAAACTCATATTTATTTTGATCCTTCCATAATTTTTACCCTCTTGGCCAAACTCTAAAAAATCGTTATATTTTCAGTGTTTTTTTTTATACATTATGTCATGAGTCAATATAATTTACAAATCACAAACGTTTAAGAAAATACAGTCTTGACATGGTCGAGGCATTTTTTCTCATTTTTAAAGTTTATATACGAGGTATGAGACGGTTTCAAGGGATTCGCGTAAGATTCACGTACTTACGTCCTTAATAAGTAGATAGTACCTAAATTCAATACCTAACTCCAATATTGGTCATCGGCCCTTAATTATTTTTGGACATAAAAACTATGCTTTTCTCTTGTAAGGTGTGGTAAGATGTCCACCTGGTATACTGCAGTGGTGCAGCCAAACGGTATGTCTTAAATTAGCAACAACACTTGACAATTGAACTGGTTATGAACTTAAAAAAATTAAGGGACAGAGGAAAAACTCAATGGTACACTTAAATGGTGTCTCAGTCTAGCATAGTTACTGGTGTCTAGGGCAAAGTCCAGCACCGCCCTCCTTCGCCCTCACGTGTACTACAGCACTCGCGGTGGAGGAAGACTCTGTGTCTTGTCGGGGCCAACGTAAACTAACGTAGTTTACGTAGGTCCCGGTCTTGTTCGAGGAAATTGCCCTAAAGTGCTCACCGCTCGAGCTCTTCCTTGCTCGTCCATTCGTCAAAAGTATATTTCTGGCACAACATAAGAGAGTTAACCTAGCACGGTCGCCCTATAGGTGCGTTTCATCTGTACCTTACTCAGTCTCTACACTTATATTGTGACATGGACCTTTTAGAAGACAGTGTCGTCTAGAATGTGAAGTAACTACTACTGCCAAACACTATGGATATAATCATAAATTCCCTTCACTCAAAATTAACACCGACTGTTACAGGTTTCAGCGACCCCTACTGCATGCTGGGTATCCAGCCTGGCATGATGGCGTCACCACAACCGTCTTCCCCCGGCTCTCCTAGTCCGAGAGGAACAAACTCTCGTGCTCTCTCGGAGAGCGGCCTGGAACCATCGGAAAAACATGAGGGCCACCATGAAAAACTACGGAAACATCACAGGTAAAAATATAAGTAAAATCTACAAATCTATGCAGCGCATTGCCCTATAATTTCCTGCCGGACACAAATTTTCTTGAAATATTTAACAAATAATTTGTCCATTCAGCTTTTCCATTCGGACTTTTCGCTATTATTAAAAACTACAAAGTTTCTGAGAAGTTAGGTTTCATTAAGTAACTAAAACGCTATGACTACCAAGGTCTGCAGAATCAATAGAATCTTTCCTATATTGGAAATACACTTTACCAGAAATAAATCACTAAATCACTCGATATATGCTCATCTAAATAATTCCTCCAAGAGTATATGACTTTTTTTATTGAAAAAAGCTTGTTCTAAGTATTTTGCTAACTCAACTGTATATTTATTGATTATTACATATCTAAAATAACTAGCGTATATAAAAGTCACAGAATATTTAAGTATCATCAATAAAAAATAAAATGCATCTACCTAAATGTGTACAGGGATAAAAAATACAGTAAAAGTTAAGATATATTGTTGTACGGTAACCTAAAATAGATTTGTTTTCTCACATGAGCAACCGAAATTAAAACCACATCAATTTCGCATCGTACAAGTTGTTCGGAAAAAAGTTTAAATACAGTAGAAGTAATCCAATGTTCATTATGAAAATGGAAAAGTGAGTTTTGGAACTAACGGAAGTTTGAGGGCACTCATTACCAAACTTTTGGTAACCAAGCTTCAACCGTTTACTCGTTATCGAGATTAAATATCATGAAACTGTTTGCAAGTATGAAAATAAATTGTGTTATTCACAAGATAATATTGACCATCGATTATTATTATTTTATGATGAAACACAGATTAGTTCTTACTTTTACCCCTTTTTCAGTAAAATAATTAATTAATTAATTAATTGTTTCATACAATACTCTTATTATATGGGCCTACATATCAAATAAGTTTTGGTGAAAATCTTTTCCTGTTTAGGAAGCATATTCATCCAATTGTTATCATTCTTAACTTGTATATCACTGTACACCCTTATTACAACAAAATATAATAAATTAAAACGACTAGTATTATTAAAATCATGTAAAATGAGTGTATGATTTGCAACGGATTATTACAGCTTTCGTCTGAGTTTTAAAAGGAAAGAGCGGAGAGAACATCGAGACAGCATATCGCAAGCTGTGCCTGCCAAATTTATCAGAGCCACCACTGTCCGACCCCAGACACTTAACCCACGATGGAATGAAAAATTCAGATTGTAAGTTCAATAGGCCTAATTATAAACTTTACAATCAAGAATTCGTCCAAGTAGTGTTTCTGAGCTAAATTTTACAATAAGCAGAGTAGTATTTGAGCGTGAAAAATCTCTGGTATAAAGTATTGGGACGCAAAATGATAATTTGTTTTAAAGTTTTCTTACCTGGTAATGCACCAACGCACTCAAGCCGGACACTTAAACATCAAAATACACACATCAAAACAGGCTTCAGGTTTAAAAAAAAATTATGATTGTTCTTGCATTTTCCAAAGTCTATAGTCACGGTCTGTATGGTATACCGTTGTGAAATCATCAGGTTTACATATTTGTTTAAAAATCATAATATAGCACAACGAGAGATGTATATGATCAATGCCAAGATACTCTTTAATCATCCAGATTCTTGTCATTCTTGATACCTGTGGACTATGTTTTATTTATGCCTGTACCTAATGACTTGAACAGCTGGAGCTGACGCACGATAAACAAAAACACTAAACAGCAACAGCAGACGACATCCGACAAGCCGGGACGATAACGATAGGAGTTTTGCAATTGTAGACATTTATTATTTTACTAAAAAACCAAATTTAACTATTTATTTATCAACTGACTCAGGCAGTAGAGAATAATTTGATTACTAGGTCTATCCTGTCAAAGCAACCTAATAGCTTTGACTATTTGGCCTAACCACAGTTCTATACAAGACAGGTCTGTAAATGTGTGACTCTTATCATCGTACCATGGATGGAAATAAGAAATTTGACATATTCTTCAATAGGCCTAGTTCAGTCCTAGCTAGACCATTTAGCTCAAGACCAAAAACAATTCCTGCACACCAGGTTGTGAATTCTGAATTATGTAAGTTGATTACCTAGCATTGCCTTTACCTTAACCGCTAATTTTCCTGGACATTTTATATGTTAAGTTAAACTAAACAGTACGCCTACTGCTACTTAGGTTACCTTATCTGAACTTTACCTTTCGCAAAATCTTCAGGTTAAACATCTTCTCCATCCTGATAATCCTCATAACTTAGTCTGTTCCGTAATAGGGCAATAGAGCTTATTGTTATAAGGGCCTCTATAGAGGCTTAGTGTTGGTCTTATACAAACGACGCACGTATATGTTTTCCGAATTTATGTTTTATTTAACTTTTCCTTTATGACCAAGGTAGGGTAGCTAATTTTATTCCATCCAGTCAAACTTGACTATCTTACTATCCTTACTCCATAGGTAACTTAACATATTGTTAGGCTATTCATTATAGCTTATTAAAATAGGCCTAGACAAAAGTTGGAGATACTACTGGGTAGCCCTGTATAGTATTTAGCCAATAAGTTAGTGCCTGTTACTTCAGCTATCGGTTTGAGGCTAAGCAAAATGTTCACTATCTTAGAGGGCTGTTCAAATCACACATCTTCCCAAAATCGTTTAGGTGAATACTACGGCTTCAGGGTAATAAATTACATAACATACCGTACACGTAACATAGGTAAGGTAAAGCCTTCTGCGTACACACAAAAGAGTTCTTGAATGCCATGTCAACTCGGCCACTTAATTTATGAAGATTACAAGATGTAGTCTATAATTCCTGTATAATTAGGTCTATATAATTAGACTATGTCTATTAATTAGGTCTATTAAGCTACTGAACGTTTTCACTAAGCGATCAAAAAGTAAATTTTGATTAAAGAATCTTAACAAAATTTGTTAGAGAACAAAATAGAATACTTCAATAATGCTGTATCAAGTGAGAAAATTATTTACGATGGGGTTAGGCATATGGTGCAATTTGAAAACGACATTGATTTGGTGTAGGTTGGCTTACACAGTAAGTTAAGTTAAATGTGTGAGCATGAACGACAAACTAAGGCAGAAACGAAATATGTGTTAAAGTTATGTTGGCCTAACTTAACCAATGTAACAACCGTTCACTGTTTGCTAACTTGCAAACAATATATGACCTTCCATGATTATGCCTACCATGTTCTTATAATCTCACTAGATCAGGGATGATAGTATTACAGTTTACCTTCATCAAACCAGTATAATTGGGGTCCAAAGTTGTCTGGTTGTGAATGATATTCGGTTTTAAAGGAATTCATCTTACTATGGCAGTGTTATTCCAAGGTAATTTGGTTAAATTTTCTTAATAACGAATAACCATATTTGGTTATTTGTTATTAAGAAAATTTATGCCGAGTATATTACATATTTACTTAAGACGAGTAATTTAATCGAGTATACTCGATATAAATGGGCTCACAAACAGTAACTTATGTATGCGCTATACTGTAGCTGCATATCTTACCGTGAGACTCTCTTTACTTGGATTCATAAAGTTTTCATAAACTGCTCTCATAGCTCTTCATAGCTGCCCTAATCAAACAAATTCTGAATTACCGTAATGAGTATTTCCAGTAAGTAGGCCTACTTAACCCCATTGTGAAAATTGTAGATAGGCCTAACTCATTGACGAACTTGGTACCGTAACAATGTGATCAACTACATTAGGCTACTTTACCATAAAAATTATTATTAACCTTATCCAGTTTTAAAGCTAACTTAACTTAATGGAATTTAAGTTAAATCCATAAACTTGCAGACAAAGACGAGCCTTTCTTATTGTCAGGAAATTCAACAAATTCATTTTGGTGCATTGAATTTGTAATTATAGATGTCCATCTAATTCTCTTCTATCTACTAGGAAATTATGAAAAGTTCATGACGTTTCAAGAAGTCTCAAACAAGCGAAAGTTAAGAGGGACAAGCAAACCATACAATCAATTGAATACCCACTGATGATATTGAATTAGGACATAATAATCTTGAGTGAAAAGGTTGTAATCATCTTGATACAAAATAAACTCTTAATTATTGCAAACATTTTATAGCCACAGAGAAAATGCAATTCTAGAAATGCAATCATAAAACTGCATATCTTGGCTCCAATTTATTTCTAGAATTATCTTCTCACATAATAAGTTATGTAATTGTTTTCATTTCAGCGATATTGATGATGTGGCTACAGACATTCTCCATCTAGATATTTGGTAAGTTGATACTAGTTATTAAAAATTATTGTTAACGGTTTTGTAAACATAAGTATATAAGTAGGTAGCCTAAACATGTTGTATTTAGATTCTGTAAATGTTAAGTTTGAATAATATTTTAAAGGTGGGTGTTGCTACTATCTTAACGTGGATATTAATTGTTAAGCCGTCACTAGTATTGCGGTTGGGTTATTAAACGCTTCTAGTGCAAGAAATTAAACAGATGAAGAAAGACCTCCTGCCATGACTTTGCTGCTTGTCTGGAGTCACATTGTAGATTTTGACCAAAACTTCAATAGTAGTGTTGCAAATTATGTTAGCATACCTTCTGATGTATAGTATCTGTTCTGTATTTCACCAGAACTGTTATACGATAAATTTTATTTGGAAGCTTCATAATATTTTTCAACAATGATCTAGGATTTATGAGTAAAAAAAGTTGGTTACTCTATGGTCCTTTAATTTTGTAATTGCAATATAACTTTTTAATACCTAGTTTCCTTATAAACTTAACAATACACTTTTCTACCAATTTTATGAACTTTTCTTACTCCTAATGAGTTGATAAACTATTCTAACCAAGTTTTGATAAGTTGCTGATTCAATGGGGCCATCAACTGTTTCAGAAATTAATTAAAACCCCCTAACAGGCTTTGAAGTGGATGTGAATCAGATTATAATGAGTTTCCAAACAAAGAGATTTCCGCTCAAAAAATTAACAAGCGATTGCATACTTTATTCATAAATTCATTATAATAGCAGCAACTGAATGAGGTTTAATGGCTACTTCAATCTGCTCAGCCAAATCCGTAATGAACAATGTTTTGTCAGCCAATATTGTTTGAGCCGTTGAACAAACAAGTTTGAGTTTGCGCTGATCTTTTATGGTTTTTAATTATTAGTGTTTTCTCAAATAAATTGTGACATTTACTTTGGTAAACGATTAATATTGATTAAATGTTTAATGTGTTCATGTACAGACATTAATACCTGGACAAAATATCTCTTTCCGTGTGTTTAAATTAGTTAGCTTTTGAACCTCCTGTACATTTTCAAAGGCTGTGTAGTCTTTTGGAAAGTTACAAACCTTTAAAGACAAAAATGCTATGTTATTTAAATAATAGGCCTAATAATTATTAGTGTACTGAGTAAAACTTATATTAGGGATTTTATCATTAAATTAGGAATGTGACTATGCAGCAATTCTCTAGGATTTTCATTGTGACCCTTGGTTGGAATATATTATTGATAAAATAAAAGGATTAGGCCTACCTTATCCAACCACAGTTGCTGTTATGACAACTAACAAAGTTCAAAAGTTTTTCCACGCCAAACCTGTTGCCACAAACAACTATGAAAAATCAGGCATCTATAGAATTAACTGTGACAACTGTCCAAAGTACTACATCGGCTAAACTGGAAGATCTTTCAGACAAAGATTTAAAGAACATATATGGTACCTAAAAGATCACAACATCAGCAATCCAGTTATGCCGAACATTTAATATCGGAATCACACAACTACACATCTATTGATAAGAAGAAGTATTGCCAACAAGTCTTAAGCTTGATGTTAAAGAAGAATTCACCATCTACATAGCTAAAAAACTCGAGCCATTTAACATTTTAAAGTATCAGACTTCTTTCCAGTCAAATATTATATTTTATACATTTGACAAGCTACAAATCAAAGAAGTATTAAATAAGAAAAACAAAACAAACTGAAATACAGGTGGCACTGGAGAGAAGAAGACACCTTATGGATTCAGTCAGTTTTGTTTAGTCAGTGACAGTGAGAAGACAGTGCTGGCCAGCATTTACAGTTTTAACCAGTTTTATCACTTTCTATTCGATTTTAATAATTTTATTTTACTATTGTGATTGTGACAGTGTTTTAAAGAATCTTTTGACATACCACAATGTATTAATACATTGATGATGTGTTTGCATACAATGACCTGACGAAGTTCTAAGGAACGAAAATAGTTGTCATACCAGCAACTGTGGTTGGATAAGGTAATCCTTTTATTTTATCAATAATTCTCTAGGCTAAAGAAACATCTGAACATAAACAATAAAAACAACTACAAAGTGCAATACCTACGTTCTTTGGTGTAGTGAGGAGGGATCGCGTAGTAACGGCGTTCCCTGTGCTTAATCCTAAGAACCTGTATATATTGGTAATCAACCTGCATTTTCCCGCCACATGGTGAATGTTCTCTCACTGAAAAATTTAGGACTACATCACTGATAACAATCCGTTTTCCACTAATTTTTTAAATTAGTGGAAAACGGATTTCATGAATTTCATTCAAATTAAATTACCCAGCATTGTGTCCATAGCCAATGATAATGACAACGATCATGTGGAATTCCAGGGATCACGATGACGAGTCTAGCGTGCTAGACGCGGTGAGCAAGCTCAATGAAGTACGGGGTGTGAAAGGTCTGGGTCGATTCTTCAAACAAATCGCTCAGAGTGCTCGCACTGGCAGTACGGATGACTTCCTCGGCTGTGTTAATGTGCCTGTACAAGTAAGTACCTTTAGAGATTGTCAGTTTTGTCTCTGTAGTTGGCTACAAACAGGTTTATGTACTACTTAAGGCCTCTCTATACAAAAGAGTTTGGAAATGTGGTGTGAAGTACAGTAGACTCACTCTAGTTCGGCCACCTCGTGACGGGACCACTGGCCGGACTACAAAATGGCCGGACTAACTGGATGTATTATGAAAGGTTGATAAATATTCCTATCAAATTAGTTACAAACACTTAAAAATCAACGAATAGCATTAAAAGTCTTTTACGACATTATTTACCAAAATTGAGCTTCTAAGCTTCTAACGTCTCTTTCTAGAGTCGTCTTGTTTCCACTTATAGCTATTTACAACACCTGACTGATTGGCCCCTATCAAGTCACTCTAGAATGAAGAGGGACATATGTTTGTTTTCACTAGAGATGTGTCCAATCCGAATCTCGAATCTACCGAATCCTAAGAAAAGATGTTGTTCAAAGGTTTATTGCGTAAATTTTTCATCACGAATGTAAAAAACAATACACAACGTATCGGGATCTGGAATCTGATCCCGTCCTCAGGTGAAAAAATCTGAACTAACACATTACAACTAAACACAAACACCCAAACTAAGTTGGAATACACTACAGAGGGTAGCAGTCAAAAAATATGCACTGTATAGCAGTCAAGTCATGATGCAACATGCAAATAATAACCAATCACAAAACACTATAATCTATAAAAGGTGTAACGTATAAAGCTCACACAATGGAACACTAATTGCACCGTTCGCAATGACTCCACCAATGAGACTGAAGCAGCATGGCCGACCAATCAGAAACACGGAGACAACAGAAATGGCTTCCGGTCCCTGGAAAAGTAAAGAAAGAAAAGAAGGTCCTAAGAAAAGATTCAGATTCAAGATTAGTTAACAAGATTTAAGGATTTAAAAAATTCTTTTTTAGCGAATTTCCCTAAAGGGAAGTAGCTATTACCGTAGGTGGCACGGTAAAACCTAAGCCCGGGACCGATTTACTTTTTCATTTTGATGTCCCCAGAGGCCAAAAACACCATTCGTTCAAATTGTTATATATGTATATATATATATATATACATACTGTCCCAAAAGTCCCGGACCGGTTTAATATTTTCTAAACGACAACAGATAAATCAATAAGATTTTGCACATCAACACCACACTTAAAAATCTACTTTTTTAAGGAACTATCAGTTTTCTGTCATATCAAGGGGACGTCCTACAAGGAGTCAGAAGGAAATATTAAATAGGAGCATAGGTCAATATGCATATCAGTTTAAAGGGCTTAGGTAGCAGAGTTCAATGCCGGAAACCGCGCCTCAAAAGGATCACCCGTTACAAAATGGCGGCCATTCAAAGATTTCTAAAACCTGCCATTTTGAATCTTTGAACGACTGCCAATTTTTACTCAGGCGTTCTTTTGAGCTTGAATTTACGGCATTGTAATCTACTAGTAAAGACCTTCAATTTGATGTGCATATCGACCTATGCTTACGTTAACAATTTTTTTCCGATTCCTAGGGCTGTGCCCCCAAATGCAAATTAAATGAATCTTTGAACCACTGTCATTTTTGACTTGGTTGTCCGTTTGAGTTCAAATTTGCAGCATTATATTCTGCTAGTAAAGGCCTTTAATTTGATGTACATGTCAACCTATGCTTCTATTTAAGATTTCCTTCTGACTCCTTGCGGGACGTCCCCATGATGTGACAGAAAATTTATATTTCCTTAAAAAAGTAGATTTTTAGGTGTGTATTTGATGTACCAAATCTTATTGATTTATCTGTTGTCGTTTAGAAAATATTAAACCGGTCCGGGACTTTTGGGACAGTCTGTATATAGATTTATATATATATGTGTCCGTGAACGCGATAACTTTAGTAATTTTTGTCCGATTTTGATGAAATTTGGTTTAAAGGTGTAAGGCGGGATAAACTTGAATGAGTTCGCGAACCAGCATGATCGGACCATGGGAAAGGGGTTTCCCGGTGGGTTTTGTGGGCCAAAAATTGGTTTTTCTCATTTTTGACCCCCAAAACACAAAATTTCCCAATTTATCTCTAGACCATATTAAAGAGCTTAAAAAAACAAATAATTTAGTATGTCAAAGTGTTTTTGTACGTGTAGCCTACTATTTTACTAAGAATTAAGTGGATGCACTGTTTTATGTCATAACTCAAACTCAACTAACTTTATTTACCTTTTTACAAACATAGAATAACAAATAAACATATGATTATAATTAATAGAAATTAACAGGTGTTACGAAATAAACTGTTCTCACAACATCCTCCCTTTTAAGTTTGAAAGTTCTTCAACCAGCTTGGTTTGTGTATATTTCTCTTTGGACGGTTGTATGGTTCTGTTTGATGTGCATTCTCAGACAAATGTTGTTCACTGTTTTCCTCTCTTAAATAAGGGGCAAGTTTGAGGTGGAATCGATTTCTTCTCACATTCCTCTTATCAGTTTCAACAATATATGAACGAGGGCTGTCCAGGATTTTCACAATTTTGCCATGTCTTCTAAGGTCCACAATCCAAACTGGGTCTCCTATATGAAGAGGATTGAGAGTTTGCACTTTGTGCCTTCTATCATAGTTGTGTTTATACTTCTCACGATATGTTTCTTCTCTCCCCTTAAGATCCTTTAGATCTGGTTTTCCACAAAGCAAATGTTCTGTCTGAGGCAATATGCTCCGTAATCGCCTGTTCATGAGAAGCTGAGAGGGACTGTACCCATTCCAGAGGGGTGTCGTTCGATAGGCTAGAAGTGCTAAATAAGGGTCTTCCACATTTTTCTTTAGAATCATTTTGGCGATTTTCACTGCGGCTTCGGCCTCTCCATTGCTTTGGGAACATTTTGGGCTACTTGTTATATGCTTGAAGCCATAAACTTTGGAAAATGTCTTGAAATCTGAATGTTCAAGGACTTGAAATTGAGACCCACAGTCAGACCTAACTTCTTCTGGAATGCCATGTCGACAGAAAAAGGCTTTGCATCTCATTATTACTTCTCGTGATGTTAATGACTCTAATTCAGCTATTTCAAAATATCTGGAGTAATAATCTGTCACAGTCAAAAACCAAACGCCTTCAAGTTTGAATAAATCCATTGCAAGTGTTTTCCATGGTCTGTCAGGGAATGGTGTGGGAAGCAATGGTTCATGACTGTTCCTTGAATGTTTAATAACTAGGGCATGATTTCACCATACTTTCAATGGCTGAAGAAATTCCTGGCCACCAGACTGACTCTTTTTTTTTACGTACGACACTTGGTAATTCCAAAATGACCTTCATGTACTCTTTGAAGTGCCCAAGACTGAAGAGCTGGTGGAATTACAAGTCTTGAACCTCGTAGTATCATCTCATTATCAACACTTAGCTCATCCTTAACTGAATTATATGGTTTTAGGTCATCTCGTAATGATGTCTTAGAAGGCCAACCTTGGATGATTATTTTTTTCAGTTCACATAAAATCGGATCTTTATTTTGTTCCTCCAATACTTTAGCAACTATGCAGTTGTTTATATCAATGGACGACAAAACCATTTGAACAAACGCTTGAGTTTCTTCTTCTAACTCACGGTCATCAGTACCTGAAAATGGGAGAGGTGCTCTTGAAAGAGCATCAGGAACTAGAAGCTGCTTTCCAGGAATATAGGTAATTGAAAAATCATATCTCATGAAACGCAATCGAATTCTTTGAATTCTTGGAGACAATTCATCAAGATGTTTGGATTTCAAAATTTGAAGTAGTGGTTTGTGATCTGTTTGTATTGTTATTCTCTTGCCAATAATAAATTCTTGAAACTTTTCACATGCCCAAGCAACAGCTGTAGCCTCCCTCTCGATGTTTGCATAGTTTTTTTCAGAAGGAAGAAGGCTTCGGGATGCAAATGATACTGGTCGTATGGAACCATCATCTTGAACTTGAGAAAGAGTTGATCCTAGCCCTTGAAGCGAGGCATCACAGGAGATAATTGTTTCCCGATTTACGTCGTAAATGGCTAGGCAAGGAGAGTTAGTCAAAATGAGTTTTATTTCATCAAATGCCTTTGCCTGCTCTGGACCCCATATCCATGGAACGTTAGCTTGAAGTAATGAATTCATTGGGGCCAAAATCTTTGCTTTTTCAGGAATAAACTTACCAAGAAAGTTTACCATCCCATTAAACCTTTGAAGTTCTTTTACGTTTTTTGGGCAGTCCATTTTGAGAATGGCGGAAACCTTTTCCTTATCAACAGAAATTCCATCGGATGAGAGGAAATGCCCGAGGAATTTAATACTTGACTTCCCAAACTCAGTTTTGTCTTTGTTAAGTGTCATTCCTACATTTTTAAGTGTTTCAAGTACTTGCCGAACAACTGTATCATGTTCTTCTTTCGTTTTGCCCCAAATCAGAATATCGTCCATATGGACGGCAACATTTGACTGGTTGTCTAAGATTTTGTTCATGCATTTCTGAAAATGTTCAGGTGCTGATGTGATTCCAAATGGAAGTTTGAGAAATTTAAAACGTCCAAAAGGGGTAAGGAAAGTAGTTAGATCCTGGGATTTTGCATTTAAGGGGACTTGCCAAAAACCACTGTTTGCATCAAGTTTTGAAAACCATTTTGCTCCTGAGATTGAGCTGAGAGACGTTTCAATTTTGGGAATCGGAAGATAAGACCGCTGGATAGATTCATTCAACTTTGTTAAGTCAACACATATGCGGACATCTCCATTAGATTTAGGCACTACTACCATTGCTGAGCACCATTCAGTAGCATGCTCAACTGGTGTGATTACATTATTTTGTACCATACTTTCTAGTTCTTTTTTTACTCGACACATTAGGGGTAAAGGTACTGTCCTAGGAGTGGTTATTGCATATGGCTTTGCGCCATCCTTAAGTGCTATTGTGTAGGGATCAGGAATGACGCCCAGACCACTAAACATTTCATGGTATTCGGTAAAAAAGTCACTGTCTACCTCTGCAACTGAATTAACAAAAGTTAAAATTTTCAAGTCCTGTATTGCTGGACGACCAAGCAAGGGTGTTATGAGTCCCTTCACTACATATACCATGTGATTTATTTTAACATCTCTGTATTGGATATTAGCTCTAACACAACCTACAGTTTCTAATTTTGTTCTACCAGCCCCATACAACTCAACTAGAGTCGGCTGGATCCTACTTGGATCAACTATGCCAGGGGGAATTACTGTTACATCTGCCCCTGAATCAATTTTAAATGATTGTGGTTTTCCCTCAAATACTAATTCTAGTTTCCAGGGCTTACATTTCGATCCATCCCCAAGTGTACCTATGAATACTTTATTATTTGAAGGTCCAAGTTCACTTACTTCATTTTCGTCAGTTACTTCCTGTGCTTCTTTAGATCTGCAGACCTTCGAAAAGTGACCAATCTTTTTGCATAAGTTACATGTTGCGCTTTTTGCTGGACATGTGCTTCTTGGATGGGACGGTTTATAACCACACCAGATGCATTGTACTGGGTATTCTCGTTTCTTTTGACAAAACCTATCTCCTTGATTTTGGTTTGAACTCGATGACGTAGTCGCTTCAATTTGAACTCTTTTCTCATCACATAAATCTGTCTTCTCTTTCTTTACGTTATCTACATGTCGTATTACTGTAATGGCCTTGTCTAAATTCATCTCGGGATCTAGCAACAAGCGATCACTAAGTTTCTCATCATTTAAACCCAGTATTAGTACCATCAACACCATTTCATCATTAAGTGAACCCCAGTCACAGGTCCTAGCCAAGGAATGGAGACTAACTATAAACTCTTCAACTGTTTCGTTAATTTTTTATTGTCTCTTCAAAAACTTTGCTCTTTCGCAAATTAAGTTCCTACGTGGAATAAAATGTTTGTCAAATAAATCTAAGGCTTCTTCAAATGTTAGCGTTGATTCGGTTGCTAAATTGAAAGATGCAAAAATATCATCAGCTTTCTCACCTAATGTTTATATCAGAGTGTTGATTTGTTTGTACTCTTTAGACTCTTCAGATAACCCAGATGCTGAACGATATCTTTGAAATCGTGTTTTCCATCTTGGCCAATCTGCTGGTACAAAGGAGAAACTAGCTGGAGGTTGAATAACTGAATGAGTGTTTGATACAATGATTGACTTCTTAGTTGAGTTGTTGTATTCATTTTCTCTGCTTCTTTCATTTTGTTCTTGTTCATTTTCATTATCTTCATAGTCAGATTGTTTCCTTCTTGGATTTCTCTTCTGAGGCATAGCTCTAAACCGCTGCCACCATGTACTATTTTACTAAGAATTAAGTGGATGCACTGTTTTATGTCATAACTCAAACTCAACTAACTTTATTTACCTTTTTACAAACATAGAATAACAAATAAACATATGATTATAATTAATAGAAATTAACAGGTGTTATGAAATAAACTGTTCTCACAACAGTACGGTTATTAGTAACGGAGAGAATTCAAAAAATTGTAAATTAAAAATTCCCATGTTATTCTTATGGAGAATATTGAAAATGTTGTAGTTTGTTTGTTTATGGATATATTTTGATCAAACTAGGCAAATTTATTTTTTTATACTAAGCTATTAATATTTTACTAAAACACACTTTATTAGTTTCAGTTTCCTTGTGGCAGCAAACCTAGGTACTCGTTAAACCTAAATAGATTCAATTGAAAATCATTCAGAGAAATGGAAATTCGCTTAGTCGGCAGGTTTGCTGCGGCGGGGGTATTTTACAATAGAAGGCATGTGCACTATACTGTGACATTGCCAAACCATAGAGGTTATTGATGTCGTAATATACAGTCCTATGACATTGCGTAACCTGAGGTTATTTTCGTTGTGGTAGTTATCTATATATAAAGCCAAAAGTACCCATGAACTTTTGAAAAAACTACAAGTCACACCCCCATAAACAATATACTTAAAATGTTCGTCATGACAAGGAACCTTGCACAAAACTATGAATTTTTTCATAAATTGCCCTTTAAAGTCATAATTGCTTTACAAAGGGAACTTTCTACAGGGTGTCCCGTAACTCTCTGGACACTTGTACATAGCGTTATTCCTTAGGTCAAGACAAACACATTTCACCATAGGAACATGGGTCTGTGGTGTCTAGTTTACCGACTGTCGGCATTTATGTGTTTTTTACATAAACATTAATAAATCCTAAACAGTTTGAGATACAGCTTTGATATTTTGCAAAAATGTTAATCTTATTAAGACCCATTATTGTTAGAAATTAAAATAAAAACTCATTAACCGTTTCAAAATGGCGGCCATTTAAAATATTTGATGCCAAATTTCACAAAAACCGTTAACTTTACAAAAAAATTGCAAGAAACAAAAAAGGTTGTAAATTTTATGTAGTTTTCAATGATACCTTATTTGTTAAGATTGGATAAATAATAACAGAGAAACGTGTTGTTTTCGTAATGTATGACCACTTTTCTCCATTTAAACAATGCAAAACAACGTAAAAGGAGTATTAGCATTGTTTAAATGGAGAAAAGTGGTCATAAATTACGTAAACAACACGTTTCTCTGTTATTATTTATCCAATCTTAACAAATAAGGTATCATTGAAAACTACATAAAATTTACAAACTTTTTTGTCTCTTGCAATTTTTTTGTAAAGTTAACGGTTTTTGTGAAATTTGGCATCAAATATTTTAAATGGCCGCCATTTTGAAATGGCTAATGATTTTTTAGTATAATTTCTAACGATAATAGGTCTTAATAAGGTTAACATTTTTGCAAAATATCAAAGCTGTATCTCAAACCGTTTAGGAGTTATTAATGTTTATGTAAAAAACACATAAATGCCGACAGTCGGTAAACTAGACACCACAGACCCATGTTCCTATGCTGAAATGTGTTTGTCTTGACCTAAGGAATAACGCTATATACAAGTGTCCAGAGAGTTACGGGACACCCTGTATATAGCCTAGTTAATGTTAAAAATCCCTCAGCTGTTCTTATTTGTATGTTATCCTTTCTTTTTATTACCTCATTTTTGTAATGCTGTAATCTGTTTTGTTTATTTCAGCAACCAATCAATAGTTTTATCAAAGATTACATATGCTACGCAAAATAGATATTGCTTGGTTTTATTAATACTTATGAAGTCAAACGGGTTGAAGCCCCATGGGTAACAGCTAGTTAGTGTTAAATGCCAAATGGTTCCTATTCCATTCTTGCCTTTTTAATCACCATAAGCCCATTTGTAATTATTTTTGGGACTCGAGATTCAAAGATTCGAGATTAGATTTTTTTTTGATTCAAGTAGAATTCAACTTCCTCAAGAACTCAGACAAGGTAACCAATAATTGCAATATCGTATAACTCTTGTAACTGGGAAATACATTCAACTTTCTATTTTGCTTGTAGGATATCCCATCAACTGGACTCGATCGCTGGTACCAGTTGGAGGCGCGGACGAACCGGTCAAATATCCAAGGCCGGATCAGGTTGAAGCTATGGCTGTCTACGCGGGAGGACCGGGGCGCTAGTGAGGAAGACAACTGGTCTGCGATGCGCAGCTCACATCGGCTACATGCAGTGTTTATTGACCACGAGACGGCTCTGGCGCAGGGACAGTGGAATGGAGACCTGCCTCATGTCGGTGAGTCAAAAGTTAGAGAGTAGATATCCCAGCCATTTGAATCAGCTATGTGACGCTCACGTCACAGCTGATCCACGTCATACCGGTAAATCAGCTGAGATCTGGAAACTAGGGGAGGGGTTAGGAAGGGCCACGAGACACCAGTTGTGTGTCAGGTCAGGAGTCTACCCGATCGGACCCATGCTTGAAGCTGGTCTACTGATTGATAAGTTTTACCATAGTTATTAAGATTAATATAATGTTCTATTTCTTGAAAGGAAAGGGGGGGGGGGGGAGATCAAAGGGTTTATGGAACTATATTCTATCTGCTTGGTATATGTAAACTGAACATTTCAGCACACTCGTACTCTTATGGTGCAAGTGTAAGATTTTACTATTCTTAACTTATAATAAATTTAAAACCAGATGTATTAGAAATATCAGATCAAAATGGCTGTGATACGGATGTAGTTTGGCTCAGTAATTAATTTAGGTTTTATATTACTCACATTAGAATGTCGCACACACCAGCAAATTGATTACATTGAGCCTCAATGATCCTTATGAGCCCAGTACCGTTACAACTAATAAAAGTATGTGCTTCTGCTGTTTCCAATTTTAATTCAGATAGAACATATTGTAATTAGTATGTGATACTGTTAAAGTTCCATTTTCTGCCTCAGTTTATTGAGACATAGTTTTATATGTCTGGTAAGCCGAGTGATTAGAGTGATAGCCTTAAAATCCGTGGGGCTAATGATGCCGATTTTGACCTATGCTACATTTGCCAGTCGGGTTGTCCATTAATACTTACATACATTAGTACATAGGCTAGTATTTGTAATGTATTTTTGGACAATCGGGTTCATTTCGGTAAAAATCCAACCACCTAAATGTTTTATCTGAATTTTCAATTATCAATTATCAATCATTAAGATGGGGACGACACTTGTCGTATCGAATGTGGTACGGTGTCAATTGATTCAGATAATTTGAGTTCTACTACTATTTCTCCCTTTTATATTTTCCTTTTTCGATTTGCATTGACACAAATTTTCTAGGTTTTCTTTTAACTATGCTTTGCTTCGTTACAACTGTCCACATCTCCTGTTCAGTCAGTTTGTTTGTTGGCAGCCCTGAGTATTTTACACCAGTATGCAATACAAGTAGACATATTTGAACTACAGTTGGCAGCAGTGCGGTGGTTGGCGTACAGTCGGGACACAACCTAGTGTAGACTCCAGAGTGCAGTGCAAGGGGAGTTTTGCTGAAGGTCTAATTCCGCATACAATTTACATTTTAGACTTGTTTCTGAGCATCTAAACGAAGCTGAAGGTCTAAATCCCGGAAGGTCTAAAAGTACAGTCAATGTAGAAAACTCATCCACTGATACTGTTTTAGATCTTGCAGTAATGTTTAGGTTGTGTTTTGGTAAGAATATTTTTCTTTTGTTTCTGCTATTTCATTTACGGGTCTTAAAATGTATTTTTAAATTCATCCTGGTTATTTTTTACATGTGCGATACATTCTAGTCTAGTACATACAAACTAAACACCGTCAATATTTTCAAATTTACCAAATTTTGCTTTACATACTCATTATTAGTAATTCATTCCGGTATGTATTTTTCATGATGGCATTATCAATGTTAATCTTGGTTTGTTGGCTAATCATCACATAAATAAAATTATACAATTTACTAAAAAATGTGGAAGTATATTACGAGTTTACATCAAAACTCATCTCCAGCCTCTGGTAACAACATATCAAGTAAATAGACTATGATTTATAATGTTTGTTTATAAATTAACATATGTTTGAATAATAATAACATACTCATTATAATCTAGATTTAACATTGTTCTTTTATCAACAAGTTGGCCTATCTTATATAAAAGGAAGTGTACCTACGCCAAAAGCACCTACACACAAAAATCTGAGTTAGAGTAAAACAGTACGACTAACCTACATTATGTTATTAACAAAATGAAAACCAATATTCCTTAAATCTAATCCCAATCCAATCACATGGTAATTTATAATTTAACTTTACTCGTCTTATGTACATGTTGTTTTTTTGAAAGTCGATAGTTATAAATGAGATTTTTAATACAATGGAATCAACCTATGGTGAAATCAACCTATGGTGAAATCGATCTATGGTGGTGGCAGTGTTCTCGCATTAGCTTAGCTAGTACTGTATACCAGTTAGTGTGCAAAATCAGTTACTTACAACCTACAAATTTTACGCTACAAAACCTGTACGCGCAACATTGTTGATATGATCTAGTGCAACAGCTGCTGGATGGGTTTGACGGGACTGCAATGTTGCCACTTTTTCTCGCTGCGGCCTTGCATTAGAGGAGGCTATGCTGATAGTGATGCAACGAGTCCAAGTAGTCGGATCAATAATTAAATTGGTCTGAACAGCTGATTTGCTGACGTTCAAAGCATTATAATTGTACTTCTTTTCTCTCAATACTTGAACCTCATTGGTCAGCTACTCGTGTTGTTAAATAAAATAACAATACTAGCCTGCCCAATTCCCGGTTTGACTCTTAAAGCAACTATTACAAAATGCAAAATGTGTGCCAAAGGTCTAATTAGACCTTCCGGGATTTAGACCTTCAGCAACTGACCCAAATACCAAAGTTTTGTTTGTTATGCCTACCTGTGAAGGTATGAAAACGTAAATTTGTGCCATTTTTTCACTGATAATACTTTGTTTGTAGCTTAACATATAAACATTTGTTACACTAACTTCGCACCACCCTGTATAGTAAGGATATAATTAGAGTGATAAGGGTTCACCCATAACTCATAAGGGATCATCACCTACTTAAACATCACATCACATACGTTAGTTGAAAAAATAGAAGGACTTGACATAATCCTGCTCCATGAGTCAAAAAACCTGAAAGTCATGTGCAATAAAGACAGGAACTGAAATAATATACACATTTAATTGGATAAACACAATTTAATGCCAGGTTTTCACAATAAACCTAACTAATAAACCTGAATAGGTTGCACTATTCATTCACCTGTTAATGACTTTTGTATGACATTTTCGACTGAAGATGTGACAACCTCCTTAGCTTTTCCTACTGCGTAATCCGTAGCTGCGGTTGTAGCTCTACGAACCACGTAGTAGCCAAGAAAACCTACAGCTATGTACGGAAGAAACATCGTTGTCACGACAGACCCCGCAATGATTACCGCACCTTCCTTGACTCCCTGTTTTTCTTCTGAAACCAAAATACAAAATAATGATTTAATGCCATCAATATCCCTTCCACTGATACATTCAAGCACTATTTATGTGTTTTGATAAAGTCCACACGAGGTAAGCCCTCAAGTTTTTACTTTCTCCCCATTTTCATTGTATATGGTGGAGAAAGTATATTGTTTCTGTCAACGAGTTTGAGTTCAGGGTGTAAATATATGTTTTGGATAGCCCTGAACCCAAAAATTTGATTTTGAAGTGTGTCTGAGTGTGTGTGAGTCACGGCAGGAAATCTTTCTTCTTCCGTTAAATGTCTTGGACCGGTGGGGTGGGAGGGGGGGATTGTTGGCATTTTCTGGCCCTTCAGTTAGTGTCCGGTCGATTGCAGACATTGAAAATTGTCGACACATCATTAAAGCAGGCAATTGCGGACAATAGGGGCTAATTCCCTAACAACTTGGTTATTGCCATTCTCCCATATTGGGAATAAGCCTTTTACTGTACCGTAGGTCTCATAGTAAGACCTAGACCTGGGACCGATTTACTTTTTCATTTTGAGGTCCCCAGAGCCCAAAAACACCTTCCGTTCCAATTCACTAGCAGTTACCCCGGCGCGCGTTGCTGCGTTGCATTTTTTTTCTACATTTAAACCAACAGGGAGCCTTACAATGGTGATTGCAAAAACAAAACACTAAGGCAATTGTAGTTGCTTAAATTCAGAGGGTAATTCGGATGAAATCATCAGTATTCTTGGGATTAATAAGACAATTTTTCCCTTAAACCACTGACAATTTTTGCTTTTTTAATCAATTTTGACTTCATTTTTTTAATTGTTAGTCTGGTAATGTTGCACAGCTTCGGTGGAGTTAAGTTTCGCATTATTGGAGTTCTTTCTTTTAATGACAGTAATGTGGTGGGTTAATGACAAATTGAGAGGCATTTGAATACCCGAGATAGCACGCACAAATTATTATTCACCTAATAATTTATGTTAGATTGTGTGGGTATAGAACGAATGATAAAAATAATAAGGCATTGTCATTCCTTTAATTGTTTATAATACTTTGATAAAGGTTTTTATGTTTTTAATATTTAACATTGGATAATTTAAACGTTGTTGAGTGCACAGGTGTGCTGCGATTGGGGTTTAATACATTTGGACTTATTCAAAAGTAAAATAGTTTTCTGTGCTGCACTCTGTAGAAACACTGTGGCACTATTTCAAATCATGACTAATGCTAATACAGAATGTTGTGATTATTCAAACCTACAAAACAGTTGGTGAAAGTAAACATCTGCTTTTAAATTATATTTATTTGTAAACATTGTAGATCAAAAAGTCTTGACATTGGCCCACTTAAAAACCTCTGGGGCAGACCTTTTGACGAATCTGCACCAAACTTCACTCGAACCATCCTTGAAAGATGCTTAATAATGCCTGTTTCATTACACAATCTGTCGAGCGGTTTTGGAGTCCATAACGTATATACATATACATATATAGGCCTACATACATACATAGTTCCTCTCTTATAGATATTGATGTGTGTGTGTGTGTGTTAGCACCTTAACTCGAGCAAAAATGACCGATTTTGATGAAATTTGGTACAAACGTGTAAAGCTACGTTTGTTCGTACAAGTTCCCAAACCAGCATAATCGGAATATGGGTACGGGGTTTTTTTTTGGGGGGTTTATATGGGTTAAAAATAGATTTTTCCCATTTTTTAGATATTTTTCCCCATTTTGGCTCTAAAAACCAAAATTCCATAATTTTTTCCAAACAATTTTTTAGAG